AAGGAGTTTCTGCAAAATTGAAACAACCCTAGTTCAAGGCGGCCTGGCCTTGAGCTTACCATGTGGCCTCAAACTCAGGGCAAGCCTCCTGCCTCTGCCTCTGGAGTGCTGGGAGTATAGGTGTGCACCAGTACTTCTGACTTAATAGCTACTTTTCAATGTGTGATAGATGCCGCTTTTTAAAAAAAGTCACAGATGTATATAGAATAATGTACAGTCCACACCCCTATTCCCTGTGCATCAAGTCCGAGTGACTTGTCCACATCAGCACCTTAGTTCCTCGAGGCTGCACTTGTCCTTACCCTTCCACTGCCTGCAGAGGCTTCCTCAAAGGGATCCGTGGTGGAGCTTTGGGGCCACCTGGCATAGGGATTCCTTATTCTTACTCGGTCCACTTTTCTGTTGAATTATTTGTTAGTCATGTTTTGGCTTGTAGAAGGAGTCAGCTTGGACACAGGTAATTTGGGAAAAGTACTTACATTAAAAGTAATTGACTGGCATTATTTATCCAAGTGATTGGACAGACAGGAAGTTCAGCTTCTGAGGAGAAGTCTCACCTTTCGTGCTAGCAGCTCCATGTTCTTTCTTTATTGTGCAAATGGGGGAGAGGTTCGTTCTGTTCAAGTTGCTATCTTGTTAGTGTTTGAATATCCCCAGGTTGCCAAGATTCTTTTACAATAATTTATAATCTTTCCTTTCCTAATTCTTTAAGGATATAAACTATTTCTTCACAGAAATTTCCAAGGAAACTCTATTCATGATATTCAAGAAAAGACATGGAAAACATACCAGTGGGCAGAGAAACTGTGAGTATATTCTCTCCAAATATGGATATAAAATACTTCATTGTAAGATCCTTCTTTTTTTAATGTATTTAGTACAGGATCTATAGGGTCTCACTACACAGATTGGACTCGTAGTGATCCTCCTGTTTTCAGCCTCCCAAGCAGTGGGATTACAGGCATGCACCACCACGCCCAGTCTGTAAGATCCTACTTGATCCAGAATTTTGAAGCCAGTACTTCTGAATAAAAGATATTTCCCCACTTACCACATAGCAGCCTCACTTGATTGAAATTCTATAAGAATTTTAAAAATTAAATTTCATGGGGATTGGGAATATAGCTCAGCAGTGAGACATTTGCTTAGATTTGACTAAAAAACAGAAGAAGAGGGAGAGAGGGAGGAGGGAGGGAGGAAGAAAGAGAACAATAAATTTAATTTATTTTTTGAGAACCATAAATTTTATCAACACTCTTGGAAATAAAGTTTAAATTTATTTTTCTTTATACAAAGGAAACATGAAAACATTCTTAATGAATAAAATGAAATGGCAGGTACTGTAAAGACCTTCCATATGTTCTAATGTTCCATCGAAGAGGTATCCATTAGTCTGAGTTTAATATGTGTCTTTCCAGATCTTTCCCATGGATTTGCCTACATGTGTATTTACACACAGCCAAAGAGGTTTCTCAGATCACTGTCATCTTTTTTCCATCTGTTTTTTAAAAAAATTTATTTATTTATTTGTGTGTGTGTGTGGGGGCAGCTCAGCCCACCAGGGGGCGGGGCTGGCTGGCATGTGGTGCTGGGGGATTGACCCGCGGTCCCTGTGCTTTGCTAAACTTGTTCTAAGTAGGTGCTTTAGACCACTGAGCCATCTCACCAGCCCCACTCCCATCTGTTTTTAAAGTTAATTTTATTGATACCTTTTATATGTAATGACTATAAGAAATTTGTACTGCGCATAATTTATCTTCATTCTTCTTTTCTCCCCATTCCCTTCCCCTCCCTTTCACTTTTTT